GTAATGTGTTTTACTCGTGATGCGCGTGCGCCTCAAGGCTACGCGTATGTTTTCGAACTTTATGTTACATCACTGCGTTTTAAAACGTTTTGTATGCCGGTTTATAGACATTATAATTCGTATATATGATGTAAGGAAAACTCATGGTTTCTTTAAAAAAATCAAGTGACCTTGAACTTTTTTTTTATAGCATAGAGCCTTATACTGCCTCTCAAGGAGACTTAAAAGTCACAAATGGGTTGCTGCCCTTTAAGTCTCCCTCCCAGAATAAGGGGATTTGGGTTTTGGGAATCTCACTTACTCGGTGAAAACTCTTTTTCCGAAGATAATTGAGATTTCGTTTTATTCGATAATTAAACCGACCTTAACCAAAGAGAATTAGTATTGTAAAGTATGAAATTGCCGATTTGTGCTGAAAAATTGAAACTCGTTTTTTCTAAGATGTAACATATTTATTTAATCAAAATATTTACTATTATCTATACATTGCTGCCATTTAAACAGAAGTTCATTTATGCCTTTACGATAGAACTCTGGGGATCTAGATTCGACAAATTGTGTAAGAGCAATTTGTACTGCCTCCTGGGAAGACTTTTTTTTATCACTTAGAAAATTTAAAAATGACTCGGTTTTCGAATTATTATCTTTCATGTCTAAAAAATTGAATGAAAAATTGAAACAATGAAAGTCGAAAATCGAATGTTTATTTCTTATAAGAAATACCTCATAGGTATCATGTTGTTGTTGTTGACTACATGGATAGCGTAGTGGTTTAAGCGGTCGCCACGCCGCTTCCTACTACGCCGAGTGTTGTGGGTTCAAACCCCACATGGGACGACACTTTGTGTGATCCACAAATTGTTGTTCTGAGTCTGGGTGATCTTTATGTCCGTTTCAGGTACTATGTTTGTAAAGTCCCCTGCGACACAGGATATATTCCTAATGCGGGGGTTGTCTTTTAATAAAAACAAGATGTGAAAAAAGTTTCACACGAAAATCTCACACTATGAAGGTTTTATGGCAATTCAAAGTATCTATTATACAATAATGGCAACTATGATTTAAGAGTCCCGTGACATACAAGTGATCAATCCTCTTTATTGGCAATGTTTAATTTATTTTACGGAGTATTCCTTACACGTTCCTGATTTCATTCTTAAGCTATTAAGTGTAAAAAACTGTGTTACAAACAGCATTAAAGCTGAAAACTTATAGCAAATATGTATTGTTTATTACGTATTTAAACTGACGATAAGGAACTTGATTTATTTTCATTTTTCCTCTCATTTTATAGAATTCTATGTAAATCGTTGACACGAGTATGTAAAAAAATATAAATAACGATAAAAACATTAAACTGACAAAAAGCGCGTATTATGATATGAATATTTTTCGTCGTTTCATTGGCTTTCTAGTTTTTGCATAGTTAGTTTCGTTTTTTTTATAAGTCATGGTATAAGACGTATAAAATAAGTCGCACGGAATACCCGCTAAGACAAAACTGAGGCACCGTAATGGCGGAAGCTCCTATGTGTGAATGAATTTGGAGTTACCAACTTACCCAAATTTATGCCCTAAAACACAGTCAATAAATAAAAATATTTTATTTGTTCCAAATTTTACTGTTTCTACTGTGTAATATCCCAAGTGCTGAAGTAATGATTTTTAAATATTTTTTTACTTTAACAGGTTCTTGAAATTTCTTCTATATATTTCAACCGAATCGCCAAATATTTTTCCGCTAAACAATATTTAATAAGCCTTATTTTGTGTTCGGATTCTAAGTTAAAAAAAACGCTTTCATTGGCAACAAACTTTTCTAGAATTTTTGTGAGAATTTATTTGAGTTGTCTTTCATTTTCACCATTACAATTTCTAATTATTTGAAGCCAATAATTCCTCCATACTCCATTTGTAAAGAATATGAAATAAAATACATAGTAGTACTTAACTATTAAATAAATAACCTTAATAAATCGATTTTAATACTCAACCATAAATTGCCTATATTTCGGGTAATTTTCACACGTGGAAATTGGCTACACTGGATTTATAATGAATTCTTTTATTCTAGCAAATGCAGATTAATTTTAATGTATAAAATCTGGAAATAAGAGATGAAATTATTAATTTAACTACGAAACATGATTCCTGGATTACTTTTCTTTCTGTCACTACTTTTTTTTACAGCATTTCGCCACGCGAAACATGCTGTATCTATATTTTTTCACGGCGTCTAATATGTGTATGTGTGCGTGCCGGGCCTGTACGTACAGCGAGCTGGCTGACTGATTGACAGTTTTTTGTTAGCGAGACTATGTCCGAATTTCCATGGTAAAATGGTGCGTACTTTTTTTAGTATGGTACTGTAAACTATTTGAAATCTGAACATTCTAAATATCCATACAACATAATATTGTGTAACAAGCTAATTATTGAAAAAGTAACTAACAAACGCGATTGCGTGAAAATCTATAGGTACCTACTAGGTAGTAGTGATGGAATAATTAGTATTCACACTCATATTTAATTGTGAATTCTCAGTTGGCAAATTGATTGTAGTCGTGAAATTTCTTAAACGTATGAATTAATAAAAGTACACGAAATTTCGTCGCTTCATTTGTTAACGCTTCACATTCACACAGCGCGTGCTTTCTCATTCGCATTAACGCGAAGACTAAATTTAATTTTATAAATCGTCGTGCTAAAACATTAATACTACTGCTAAAGCTAAATTGCTAAATTTCGCGCGGACCGACGCCCGTGCGCGGCGCGATTGATTGAGAGTGTAAAGGATTTTATTGTCTATTTCAAAAGAAATGCACGTATTTAGGATTGTTTATTGCATAAATATGTTTTTAATATTGAATTTTCAGCATTAGCAAGTGGCCGGGAGATTAGGTATTGTTTTGAATGCCTTTGGTTTCTCGTAGTGTTCACACATTTCATCGGTGTCAATAATTTGTCCATTTCTTTGATATGCAATGATACGCTACTTCCGTACCTTCACAGATGCTCTTTTTACATGTACCTACTTGCAAAAATATAACTTTCTTGTAATATAATATAAGAGTAAGCTTTGAAGTGATAACTTCTTATGGGATGGTAAACCGCTCCGTTACGTAACGCGTTACGGCGTCTGTCTGTCTGGCTTCCCTTTTTCTCACGCATACGGGCGCGTCAGGCATTCTCCTTCTCTCTCATTCTAACCCTCAGCGATAGTCGTATTTCGGATAAACGCTTTACATAAAATTTAAGTAATAACCTAAGCTTTGCTTAAGTTAAACAATTTCAATATTAAATAGTTCAACATCACTTTTGCCGGGCGTCCCGAGACGCACACGTTTTTTTTAAATTATTTCTATGAATAAATATATGACATTAAGGAGTCTTACTAGTTACCTTAACTCAAAGCACAATCAGGAAACAGTTTGATGTCTGGTGGTGCAAAAAAAATATATTAATATACAAATAATTTGTGCGATGAGCAAGATCATTTTTTGTGTGGGCGTAATTTATTTATAATTATGTATGTATTTAAATATATTGTATACATATCTTTATCAGTAGTTTGGTTATTATAGTACATAGTTTAGGATCAGGTCTCAAGTTATTACTTGGTTATAGTTATAGTTTGTCGACTAGATCAACAGCGATGATTATAGCTTCAGAATCTAGTTAAGCTAAAAAAACTGTTGTCTAGAAGATGCCAATGGAAATACAGACTTTAAAGTTTGATTTATGCCTTCCTTAGTACTCTTAAATTATCTATCTCCCATTTATAATGGCAAAAGTGATAAATATTCAATCAAATTTGTTTACTTTCAAAAATATAATTACGTCCAATAAGTTAACAGAAGTGACTTCACTGGAAGCTGGGTGGTAAAATCGAAGACGTTCCGATTCAAGTTATTTATTTCGTAAATATTGTTAAAAGAATCAAAATTAATTTATATATTTTTTAACATTAGAATGTCAAAATGAAATAAAAATGAATTAAACTAGGTATTACTACGAGTAAATACATATCTCAAAGAAGCTGTACCTAAATCTGTACACAACTGGATACCGCGACTAAATACAGTTTATATCTAGTGTCATATTTGATGTCATATAATTTAAACTGTTAAAGCTATAAACTGTAAACTTGCGATACTAAAGTATATTGAGGAGTCATGATGCCATAAGATATCTGCCCTTCAGGAACTCCCACTCGGTGTGCCGACATTCATTGACTTCAACAATATGGTATGAATCATATATCATCTCGTATAGATCCGTCAAACCAACATTTGACGCGAACGTGTCCTTACATTACAAATTTTAGTTAAATAAACATTAATACCTGGCACCGTAGGTCTTAAAAATGAGGGACCTTCATGCAAGTGTAGAGGTAAACAGAGAATGCCTTTATTAGATTAGTAGAGGTAATTAGAATACCGAATTAGTGATGTGGATGTGGGCAAATTGACTGCACGGAAAGCGTAGTGGTTTAAGCGGTCACCTCGCGAGTTCCTACTGCGCTGACTGTTGTGGGTTCGATCCTCACGTTGAACAACAGTTTTTGTGATCCACAAATTGTTGTTCTGAGTTTGGGTATTCATTGTGTCCATGAATGTGTGTAAAGTCTCCCGCGACACAGAATAGTACGGGAGTTGTCTTATTAATAAAAGAAAAAAGATTTAACTTCTAAAAATTATCACCATCTACAATGGGCCTACGTCATGATGAGCTGTGAACTATATTCTTCATTATATCTTGGGTGATATCATTTCTTCAAATTTCAATGGGACCAAACGGAAAGTATACTTTCCCAAATAATAAAAAACAAAACAGATTTTCCAAATCCGTTAAAAAAATTACGAATATCTGAGAAAACCAAAGTATCAAAATACAATTGACTTGAGAACCTTTTCCTTTTTTGTAGACGGTTAAATAAGAAAAAAAAATTACAATAAAAATTACTAAAAATATGTTTTATTTGCTTTTTTTTCAACCAGGTACGTCCGCTGGTGGCTTCTGTCCTGGACGGGTTTAATGGCTGCGTATTCGCATACGGCCAGACAGGCACAGGCAAAACTCACACTATGGAAGGAACCCCAGAACATGAAGGAGTAATCCCCCGAGCCTTCAGACATATATGGGCCCACATAGAGAATAGCGCTTCGCCAGATGTCACCCATCTCGTCTCCTGCTCCTATATTGAACTCTACCTGGAAGATGTTAGAGATTTACTATCAAAAGACTGCAAGAAACTCACCATCAGAGGGCAGGTATGTTTTGTCGACTTTTTAATAATCGTCTGTACCTTTGCTTTTTTAAAGACAACGCCAGCGCTTGGGCACCACTTTGTTATAAGGGGCTTTGTTGATCAAGCCTAATGCAGTCCACTGCTGGACATAGGCTTCTTCTAAAGTGCGCCTTAGCTCCCGGTAATCTAGCCAATTTTATAATGGACAAACATTTTTACTTACGTGTGTTTTTGTCTGTGTTGTTTTTCGATGCTGGTTTAAAAAAAATAATTATATGATATGTAAAAATATAAAAAAAAAACTTTATATTGTAAACGTTTTTATGAAGAGAAGTAGGTACATATCGTATATAAAAATGACAAAAATATAATGTATAAAGGGCGGTCCTATTGCTAAACGCAACCTTGATATTTAAAGTGAGACCGTTCACTTGCATACTTAAAAAAACATTCATTAGATTCAAAACCATAAAAAAGAAAAAACCCTTTGTATTAAGGCACTTTGTTTCCACGACCAGCCTATATCGAAAACACAAACCTTTTAATTAAAAACTAGACTTGAGAACGTGAAGATGGCGGCAATTATAAATCGTTTTATGGTAATAAGAAACACACTTAATGTGTATTTACTGCCATTCGGGTATTAGTTGAGGTAAAGATTTGCATTTAGTCTCAGACGATCTCAGTGCAACCGTCTAGGTCAGGGCTATGTTGTAATACCGAGCGGGCAATTCTCATCTGCCCTAGAGCATTAGACGTGTGATGTCACTTTTATCTCCCTTATGAAGTACAATAAAAACATGGTCATTTAGTAACTTACATACATATTAAGCCATAAATGTATATCTGAAGGGCTGCTTTTGGTGACTGTCTTTGAGTTTAAGTTAGTTGTCCGTTACTTGTATTTTTTATACTATTTTTATACAACTGACTTGCCTTACATGTAAATACAGCATTCCTGAGCGTAATGTAAATAGGCGGTGTTGCCTGCGTATAACCTATATTTTGCCTGTGTTGCTAGTTCACCTAGGTAGAAAAAAAAACAAACTGTGTTAGTAACTCTCTAGATACCACATCAACATGGAGACCGATGGGAATGTCTAATTTTTTAAATGACTGAAATACAGTCGAATTGGAGTTACATTCAATTTTGTCTTCGACGGTGTCGCGAGTTCTTATTGAATGTTCTTTGGGAATTATAAGTACATTACCTAATAAATTATAATAACCTTGTATAGTTTATTCATTAACTATACTTACTAAATAGTTTTACAAAACAGTTTCGTCATTTAATAGTTAACAATGCAGGTTATTATCGTATTGGCAAATGTTACTAATGCACGTTTAGGTAACGTAAAGCATACTACAAAATATTTTAGTGTTGGCTATTATTATGTTAATTTGATATCCGTAGTGCAGCTTCACATTGAGCAAACATTTCGAGAAGTTCACTACACGCTTTAATAAAACATAAACGAAAATTCTTTAATGAGAATGCGCTTACAGACTGTATGCAGAAGAAAGAGACGTTGACATAACAGTCAAAATGTGAATGTATCTAGCTATCAAAAATTAGGTTTGGTTGTGTTGAAATAGTGAAAATAATAATATCATTAAGAAATAAATTTCTTTACTCAAGAATGAACGGTCTGATCTTGTACTGCTGTCATTTAACAGATGCCTTAAACTTCGACCTGGCGAAAAGTCCAAGTCATGTGGAGGATGGCATAAGCTTTACTTGGAAGAACTTTAATGGAAGAACTGAAAAGTTGTAAACAATATTACCTTGGGCAGATCATAGTCGCATACCTGTAACTTGAACTGGCTGTTGCCGAAAACTCGTTTCGATTGCCGATTCGATATCGGTATTCTCAGATCTTTATTGGCCGCATAGGTTCTTTTACCGAAACAGCAAGAGTTACCGAGGTTTCAGACAAAACAGCCAACACATTACCATCGTCTAATGGTGGCTACTTACCGTCAGGCGATTGTTATAGTAATTGTGGTTGAGCAATCTCTCTGCAAATTGCTTAGTAAAGGTTATTAGACCCATGTGGTAGACGATATCTTACTTCTAACAGTGTCGCAAGATTCGTTGATATACACTATTGTGTAACGGCATGACATAACTGGACACTTAGCACTTGCGCGATGAAGCTAAATAATCATATTGTCTACCATATTGGAAGAGAATGTTACGTGCACGTTTCTCAAACACCCCAATATTTACCTACTTACGTATTACTCTATGGAAGACAGTCTTTCTTACTTATTGTATTAAAAATGTTTATAAAGTTGTATCAGTTTTAAGCTAAACCAACTGGCATACCATGCTGACAATTTAATTCAAATTCTGTGCCGTTAGAAATGTACCATTTGATATGTCAAATTCGGAGTTTTTATCATAGGTTAAATCCTACCCACGTTCTGACTTCTGAAGCTTCTGTACTCACTGGTGCCACTTGAAGATCCGCAGAATCTAAACAACCTTAACCCGTAACTTGCACCTTATTTAATTATCTGATTGCTTTACATCTCATTTGAGAGCTAAATCAGGCGGTTGAACCTCGTACGTTCGTGCGTCGCGTTAAGCACCAATTGAGAGAACCTAGTCCTACCAATAATTTCCCCACCCCTACACAGGAGTAAGAAGGTCACCACGATGGGACACTTTGTGTTCTAAGGACCTTCCAATTAGACGTACCTGTGGCTGGATACTAATAGTTGTGGCATTCGTTTTCACTCTGTCGTCATTAGCCTTCAAAATATAGGTTTGAGCACTGATATGGTTTAGTTAAAATTACTTTTGGTAATTTGCTAATGAACTACAAGCAATTTGTTGCATTAGAATATATACCGGCTTACTAATAATATAAACTAGAATATAATACTTCAAAAGAATTCGACAATTTTTTTGAAGTATTGTATTCTAGTATCCTGTAAATTCGCCTGAGAGACTCAAACACTTGTATAGGATTAGTAACAAGTAAGTGACACTGCTGGTACTATACTACAAGTGACGTAGATTGAGCCGCCTTCCTTCTATATTTGTAGTTAAATGAAAAAACAAAACCAAAAATAAGTTTATTAGATTTATTCTGAAGACTGATGACTAGTAGGAAAAGAAAAATATTACATGCCATTTACAATGTTATATTTTGATATTAATGTTCACAAATTAGGCATTTCAAAATCAATTTTCTAGTTCAAATAGGAGTAGTACAGTCACGTAAAAACGAATGAACCCGGAATCTGAGACCTTTAACTTTAGAGCGTTCATTTTAAACCTCTAATCGCCTTATTATGAAATTACACATTTCCCGTGGTATCTCCTGCGATATTGCTATGGTATCTGCTTCGCTTCTAAGGGTCAGTAAGAGATGTCTTCATGACTTTATAAAATAAATAATATCCGATAATCCACACGCTATAATTTTATTATAGCCGTCCCGGCGAAGGCGTCACAACACCGAACTTGGTACCGTGGCGGTGTTTCCTTCCATTCTTTCTTAATGAGCATTGCGGTTTGTATTATACTGCACGGTTGCAATTGGCACGGTGTTGGCATTTTTAATTTTTGATGGAGTGCAGGCATACGAAAATCGTCTTGGCGACCGCTAAAGAACTTTGCTCTACATATGTGAAGCTCGCTAAAAACTGATTATAGCAGAAAATAGTGAGTATTCCTGTTGCAAGTTTGGCAATTACCAAAATGTCCGACCATTTTTGGGAGTGACGAAACTTTTTTACTAACACCTTGCAGCCACAGCCGCGATTGCGCACTGCATAAAATTCTGCCGATAAGCTTTTATGCTAAAAAGTTATAAGCGTCGAATCGTCCAAACCTTATATATCTATTTGTTTTTATCTAGTACACTTCAAAATTACAGAATCCTCCACCGTCTTTACGGCATAGTACTACCAGACGCACAGCTCTGTCACCTCAGCGGCCGCCAAGCACGGTTTGTGGATCACCTACATCATATATACCACTAAAGAGAAGGTATTCTTGGCAGGGGATATGTTTCTTGACGATTACAGTCTGAGTGACTGCGAGGCGCGAACCCTCTTCTAAAACATTACAAGGGGTCATTTCATTTATACTGTTATTCGTGAGTGAGGGATGAAGATACGAGAATACAACCGGCAACGGTATATCGTTCATTTCTCGTGAACTTGAAAAGAGTCAGAGACTTAGTCTGCTAAAGAATAGAGAGAAAATCATATATTTAACTGACGCATTTATAATTGTACCGTATACTGGCAACTTGCATTATAATTATATTGCGCAAACAACAACACAAAAAAAGCAATTAAGTAAACGCATGTGTTTCACACCTACTAGTTTTCGAGTACAGCATATGTCTGTCTGTCTGTAAATTTATATGTATTTTTATTAAGGAATGAAACAATATACTGTTTTAAAAAGAGTTACCGTACCGTACCCTGTTAGGTCAGAGACAAGCTGTGATGATCTAAGCAGGCCAAGTCGATTATCTAATTCACGCGAGCAATGCTCGCGGCAAACAGTTGGCCCTCCTTGACCATCGGCCCAACTGGTGACCATAAGGTGTGGTAAAACACAAACTAGAGATTATAATATATCTCTAGTTTGTGGTGTTCTGCGTATGTATTAGTTATGAACATAACTTTATTATATGTAGTCATTTAAGAAGTTATAAAAGGTAGTTTCGTGGGTGTAATTTTTAATGAGGTCTTTCTGTAGATCAATGGGGTGTAATTTAAATTTAAAAATATATACTGAATAATATTTCGCGTGCACCCAGAAGGGCTGGGCTTACGGGTGAAAAAAACCTGAGATCCGCGGCTCTCTCCTTCTTTCACAAGCGTACCTTCATTTAAAATCTTGTGCTTATTTTAAAATTTTGTACAAGCCTTACTCAATTTCAATTGATCCCTCAAAAGCGTTCTTTTGTTGTGTTTTTAAGCAATGCTTATTCTTTTAAGTAAATTTTCTTGCCTGAAATGTTTAATAAAGTAGCATTTTTTAGAATTTAGGATTCGAAAAACTTTCTCTTGCATATGATAATACTTTAAGATTAATTGTTGCACATATTGTACGAATTGCAATTTGCAATAGTAAAAAAAATATTATTACACATTCGTTAGTTTTCACTTCCTTATCAAAAGTACTAGGCTTGTAGCAAAGGTTAGGCGTAGTCGATATCGCACAGCTACACGTGTATCGTACCAAGCCGTCGCCCAGCAACGTCCACCAAAACAACAACCCACATGCAGTACAGATGTAACGAGCACCGCCGACATGGTTCTGCGCGCCTAGTACAGCGCCGCGTGTGGCGAAAACGAAAGTACTACAATTACAACATTTTGTACACTTACTGTAATTTTCAGTGTTTTTACGTTATACTGCATAATTAATTATTTCAAAGCCTTGAATTCAATGATGATTCATAGAAACTAAAATAAATTGTTTATAGTTTATATTGTTCACGAGAATCTATTAAAATGATTACGAGATCGTGAAGAAAAAACTTAATTTAAATATTCCTTTATGACATTTTTGACACTCAAATTATTTTGATCAGTTTTTTGTTGATTGTACTGCAAATATTATAGGTTGTCGGACTAAAATCATATATTAATAAGTACGAACGGTGTGACAGGTTTGTCTGTTTGTAACTAACCTTGGCCAGCGTCACTGATGAGTACAAATATCTACTCTTGCGTTGTGTAAATAAAAATGTTACAATACGCAATTTTAATAATGCACGTTTAAGCAACAGCACACATTACGATTATGTTCCATTAAAAGACAAATGGGAATTATATCTGTTATCAAGTTACAAGTCGTGATTTTACTAATCACATTCAGGTGGGTCGTTTTTGCTTTTGCATCAGCATCCTACCTCATATCCTTTACAAAACATATAACTCTAGAAAGCTGATCGATAAATTCAGCAAGTCGTATTTCAGCAAAATTGTTTTATAAACACTATTCAAGAGATATTGATTGATGAAAGATTTGTTCTCTTTGTCAAAAAGCCTTATACCGAGTCTGTTTCAATAAATTCTTCGAAATCATATGACCCATCCTACGCAGCCCTATTTATTGGACATTGTAGGCAAGCTTTAAAGACAAAAAAAAATGTCCGTGTTCCAGTCGGTGTTTTTTATATAAATGTAGGTAAATGTCCGGTGTTATAGTAGAAACTACATTTGCGTTTTTTATCATTCTGTACTTGAACATAATTTATGCCTTCCGCAAAAATCGGCTTGAGAGACCTCGCTTGGCGATTGAAACGATTCGCCAAATTAGGTGGGGATAGCAGATAAATTATACAATGGTTAATAAGATACTGTTCGTTAACTTTACTTTCTTTGCAATGTGATTATCATTCGTCTGTATTAGCGCTTATCTAGACCGAACATTCACTCGCTTTAATGATATTGTAGTATTGTCATGCCACCAAAATTAATACACGTACAGAACACATTTAAAGAATGTAATGTTTTCCTGTAAGCCGTCCTAAGGTCGAGCAATTAGAGAGGGCTTTGTTTATTGTCTTCGCAATTGTAGAAATATCCTTTTAAAGGTTGTTTTTTAAATAAAGTTACGTCATTATCGAGCAACTGAATTCTCAGTTCCGTGTCCCCATCCGAGACTCGTGATATCCTTAACCCTGGCTCTTTCGGTCCATCAGTTGCATTAACTCCGATTGACCTTTTACCTTTATTCTCTCTGAAAACAATTCCTAAGGAGGGTTTGTTTGAGGCAGTCTGACGGCCAAGAAACCAGCCATAATTTTTTGCAGTGTTATGTATTGCGCCGACTCGAAATAACATAGGGATAAGGGCAAGGGAATAAAGATGATGGGCGCCCGATATTCCGCCAGCCTTTAGGCGTTTTAGGTTAGATACTGCCTTCGCGATATTCGGTCTGTGTAAGAAAAGGGTTTTTGGGAAACTAATTCTTTTAGCCACCCGATTGTTGTTCCCGATGGTTGTGATTGTTGTTGTGGCCGAAAAATTAGTGCGTATATTATTTAAATATTTTTAACAAATGTTAAATAATACCTTCATCATAATTAAAAAAGGGATTGAATAAAATATTACGCTTTAATGAATTAAAAAGTCAAAAAATATTTTAATTAACGTAATATATCGTGCTTTCTAGTTACAATTTCGTCACTTAACAAATTGCCAGCGATAAGATATTTAAAGAAACTGATTAATTTATATTTAAACATTATTTTTAATTTTTAGTTATTTAAAAAAATATCTTTACTAAGAAAACTGCGGGAATGGTCCCATATCACTATCTTAGAGTCAGCTTGATGAAGAGTTGTCTAGTTAAGTCCTCAGATTGCTGGATGAAGTAAATGGTGTTCGTTTTAAGGAGCTCAACGGTTTCTACATCCCGGAAATGACGTCGGTGGTGTGCAAGAGCGCGGCCGAGATGGTGCGGATCATGAAGGCGGGCAATCGCAACCGGGCGTCCGGCCGCACCGATATGAACGAGCACTCCTCGCGGAGTCACGCCGTATTCCTGGTCACTGTTGAGACTGCTCATCGGAAGACTAACCGGATACGGTGAGTGTCTCCAAACCTACACATATACACCAGTAACTCGTGCTAGCTTCGTGCGGTTAACAGCATACTTATATGGCAAACATTTTTTGCAGCAAAGCTAGAATACTTGGCATGATTTTTCTGACATCTTAAACAATCGTCATTAAATTTTACCAAATTTACATAAAGTCTTAATGTTTTAAAAACGGAAATCTATTTTAAGAATTATTCTATGCGTTATTGTATACCGTATAGGAATTTGTTTGGTACATTTGAATTCTAGACTCAGACAGTAGCCAGAAAGACACGGCGGGATACTTTATTTTAAAATGATCAAGTAACTCCTAGCATGCGTTTGAACATCTTGTTACAGATAGACTTTCTTACTTAAGGATGACGTAATAAGAGCCTAATTTTCTATCCTGTTTGTGACCATTTCCTCAAAATTTCTCCACTTATGCAAATAAACGAAGTTCACATCATTATCAGCCTTTAATAGTCCACTGCTGGACATAGGCCTCTCGTTAGAAAGGAGGTTTTGGCCTACTGTACCCCGCTGGCTAGACGGGTTGGTATAGGGTTTGTTTCTTCACGTTTTCCTTCTCTTTGCAGTGCTGTTGTCTTGCGTATTTGGCTCCCTTAGTCGGCTCTTATGACACCCACGGGATGAATAGGAGTGGTGACACTCCGTGTTCTTAATCGTCACCAACGAAGTTATCAAAAATAAACTATTACACTTGCACATTAATTAGATTTTTAAACAAGGGTACAATACATGCATAGGTACATACAGTGATTGACAATTTTAGGATTCTTTGACCTTTAACTATTACCTAAAAATTATATTTGATTACTACATTCCATTGAGCAAATTTGCAGTAGCAATAGTTTGTTTGATCTATGTTTTTTAATTAGCATAGTATAAACATATATTATATAAAGTTTAATTTTACTTAGGTTTCTATCTGTATATATAAAAAAAAATTAGTTGGTGTGTGTACGCTTCAAAAACTTAAAAAGTTCTGCATCGATTAAATATTTTTATCACATCAATCAATGTTTAAAGTGAAGAGTGAAGTGAGAGTGAAGAAGTTAAGAGTGCCATTGACTAATAGGGTGCCAACAATAGTACAGGCCCCCTATTACACACTTTTCTTTTTCAATATTTAATAATGTTTTTAATTACCTCAAGGTACACCAAAACCTCTTTTCTAAGGAGAGGCCTACGTCCAGCAGTGGACTGTTATAGCCTATTAACGTGATGATGATGATGTTTTACTTTAAGTAATTTTGGGTGCAAAATGAGATTTACTCGATTCACCAGAAACTGACATATTAAAGGTGGTAAACGGTTGTGTGTCAGTCGGTGTTTTGTCGAGATTCAGTTCGAGTGTGAGTCTACTACATGACTAAATGTACGTAGTGGTTAATCTAGGACTCTTCAGAGTTATTTGAAGGATGACCTCACTTTTATGAGCTCCAATTGAGTGACCTTTTACAAGGCTGTCGCTGCTATGACCTTTATGGTGTTCGAGGGAAATGTTAGTTCTTTTATCAATTTCTGTATTTATTTATGAATCTTTCAATAATGTTTTACAATTTTTTGTTGCTAATATTTCTAATCTAATTCTAATTTATGTTTGTGTATTTCTCTGCTTATTATTAAACATTGGAAAGATGCTGGATAAACATTAAAGGCAACATTTAGCCATTAGGTATACATTTATTACATTGAAATGATGCGAGGTTCATGGCGAATTAATTTTTAATTGTCAATATCGATTAACACACAAAATGAAATGAAATTCATCTAAACTGAGAAAACTTTATATTTTTAAGCTTTTAGGAGTTTGTTTCAAAACTATTTTCATGTTTACATAATCTAAAAATATGTCAATTTACATATGACCCATTAATTATTTATCGCCAGTGAAATGTACACTGTCACAAGAGGGTTCCACAATGAGTCAATTCCATTTGCCAGCGCCACTCGCCTGCGTCACCAGCTCGCGCCCCAACGGCGCCGTAATTGGGTGAGACTTCGTGCGATGCCTACTGTCTAGACACCTTTATGGCTAGCCTATTAAACCTTCGAAAAAACGAAAACCACAATACACAGTCTAATAGTTCGTCTTTAAAACTTGTCAGGCAATTACTAGGACCTCATGAGATCAGTTTTCCGCTAAAAGAGGGACTTTTTGTCAGCCTATCACCCTGAAGTGGTAGTTTCCACTTCCACTTACATCTAATTCGAAAAAGTTTTGCGCGTTAAATTAATCTTAGATTGCGATCGAGATTCTATGTACGAGATAGTAGGAAAGCAAAAGACAAGACAAATCTATGACATATATTAAAATATTCAAGGACGCTATTGTCACAAGGCTCTAGTGCCTGCAATTTTCATAATTGATCGTCCACTCCGTCACGTGTACTTCATTACCATAAATAATAATAATCTTCCAATCGATGCAGATATGGCACGTGCAAACCGCCAGTAAAGTGATTCAACATTCTTCAAACAATACGAACCCAAGCTCGGTCTAGACTGAAATATCGACGTGGGCCACAATTAGACCTGCACTAATTATGTACTTCGGAGTTTGAAGAACAATGTGCTCTAAATTATACTAACTCATCCAATGTGAAGCATTGACCCTTTGTCGTACGGCGTTCATTGATTCAACAGCAAAAAAACCAGATCGTTTAGCTGACTGTGAATGTTTTCACACAATGTAGGTGCCTATTGTTTCTACTTTTGGTGAGATGACAAATATTTGATACTAATTTCTTTGTTCCTTTTGGCAAGGCCTAATTTGATCCAACCAACATATTATATTCATCCCGCACCAATTACATAACGTACGCTCATGTAACTTAGCACGAACTTAAACAGCGAACTCCTCTTTTGTAAAGGGTTTTTAATTACTAACTGCTTGCCTAGGGAGGGATTTTGGCTGGTGAAACGGAGCCATGTAAATCGCATCTCCCAATAAGGCACGGCTAGAAGTTTTAATATCGGTTTTAATAAATATCACCTTGATGCTTAATGGTTCTTTGAAACTTGATCACTGTATGTCGATTACCATCAATCGGATAAAGTACTTGTTTGCCAACTTTATTGTTTAAAAATAATTGATTGCACCCACCTTGTAGTGATCCTGGGAAAACAGATAATGAAGTCAGTACTTTGTGCTTGCGATGTCCTTCAGGGTAACGGGACTCCCTATACCTGACTTAATTCTTAAAAACAGTAAACGTTCAAGTCAATTATTCTCTTAATATATTTTGTTCAATGATATTCAACAAGCGATCTACATATATTGTACAGATTATGTACAAAGAAAAATCTGCACTACCAATCGCAGCGACAAGTGCTTATTGTCTGCGCGCAATCAAGTGGTTAAAAGAATACAATAGAATTGGATAACAGATATAAAATACATATATTTTTATCAATTCCAATGCTCCACGATATATTTTCGTTTATTGAATTGACATCCAAGTACCGCTTGGTTTTATTAAATTGATTTATAAGATCGTTGACCTTTGTACTCCCATAAATTCAACGGCCATTCTTGAGGGTTCAAGAGGATATCTCCTCAATTGATCGACATCGATTAATCTGGTTTCGAAAACAACATTCTAAATACCATGTTCATAAGTTCTTTATTAATTGTATCATATCCTGAATAAATGATCCTAATTGAATAAGCTTCAAGTTTTGCAAAGAGTTGACTCATTTGATACTAGATTTATAAACATATCGTGAATACAAATAGTACCTATCCAACAAAAACTATTCGTCTCATGTCTCGTGTATCACTTTTGTAGGTATCCTATAGGTTAAAATCCAATAATCTAAGTAATATGAGGCCGTACTGTATTTAGTCTCTGCATGTTGGACAATTTAAGTTGCAGTGTTTCTCTTTGTTTATACGTTGCAATGTTTACGCTTCGTATGCAGTTATTAAGTCAAGGTTGGGCACGACAATTTACTTGCTAATTGGTTACCCGACTATTGGAAGTGACTATTTTTAGAGAAGTGCATCTTGAATTATCATGTGGTATAGTGTTTTCATTACCCAAAAAATTTGCGACTGAACAGTTTACTGATTACCGAAAGAGTTAAAAAATGGCGCATTTACAAAGATCGTCATAATAGTGTACCGTCTATTCGAAAACCGAAAGTAAGATCAGTTCGAAGACTCCTATGTATCAGCTCTCTGAGACAGCTAGAGCAATGATCCTTTTCAGGTCTTACATGATACCTACTTATAAAAAGCAGTCCTGTGGTTGGAATATTTCAAGTAAATTTAAATTTATTCCAAATCTACTGCCTTACTTCTTTCACTCAACAACAATACTCTTTCATAAATACACCAGATAATTAATGTAACAATTCTATACTTGGGACTAAGAAAAACTGAAAAATAGCCGTCAATGTATTAAAATACCAAAATCATTGAAATGGATAAGACGGGACACGATGTACCGAGATAATTGGTTACCTAGTATTCGTCAGCGCGATATTAACATCATTGAGGAGACGAGTGGGTTGTCTGGTCCGCGGTCAGTGTGGACTGCTTGGGCGATGATGGCTTACACATTACGTGTTCAGCCTTCAGACAGACACGGTTCATTATAGCTAGACGTATTTATATGGTATTAGTATTATTTTTTTTCATTTATTTCTGATAATGATTTATGATTTGTGGATTAGTGAGGATGAGTGGAGCGACGAAGAAGATCAGTTCTTCAGGTGAGGTCAAACTGTTTCTTACATCTCTGTATAGGTTCCGTTGAAATTCTGAACAACTCATATCAGCTTCTTCTTGACCAGTGTTGACCAGTTGCCCAGTGATTAGTGCCTGGTCACTGGTCAGTTCTATTTTTGAATAATTATGTACATATGCGGTAATTATCGTGATTACGTAATAGGTGTGACATTCCTTTTGATTTGCCTGAGATTTAGACCACGTTGCACGGGTTGTGATCACAGGCTCACTGATGTACGCCCACCG